CCAGTCCTGCCTTATTGGAGAGGAGTGCCAGCACGACACCCTGGGCTTCCGCTGGAACCTCGGAAGGGCCGGGCCTTGCAGGTGAGACCACGTCCCAGACCACAAGTAGGCCCAAGTAGGCCCTCCCTCGCCACACGTAAAACCAACGTCAGGGCGAGTGTCCGGTATTTTAACACTCTTCAGACGGGCTAATAGAAGCCAGATAGTTTAAATATGTTCAAAGACTTCAAGAAAAAGTAGTCTTACTGACTTAACTACACATGGGGACCCTCGCACAGAAAGGAAACTAAGGATCAGACCGACAGAAATGCTGAAGCTGAAAAGCTGCAGTGCCTACGATAGAAACTCCCCTGCACGGGTGGCAAACAGGTTAGCCAGTCAGAACAGAGAAAGAGCAGGAAATCCGAACACTGTCTCCGTACTGCTGGGACAGATCCAGACAACCTGATTTGTGCAACTAGAGACCCAGCAGTGGTGAAGAGACAGGGGAAACAAGGAGAAGATCCTCCCAAGAGAATTTCCCAGATTTGGCGTAACACATCATCAACTCACAGATCCAGGAAGTTCCGGCAGACCTGTCAGTACAAAGAAACCACAGAGACTGCTGAAAACCGGAGTCAAAGAGGGTCACCTCGAAAGCATCAGGGACAGTAGACACACTGCAAGGAACAGCAGTGCGCGGGGGCCCCGGCTTGTCACCAAGACAGCGGCAGCTGGAAGACAGTGGGATGAGGTATCTTGAGAGGGCTGAGAGCAGAAAGATGTCCGTCTGCCAGAATTCTCTCTCAAATATGAAGTCAAAGGAATGACCTTTGTAGACGAACAAGAACAGAGAAGACTCAGCCGCAGCCCCAGAGAGTCTGTCTGGCCAGACGGACGCACCGCCGGGTGGCAACTCGTCCCCGTGAGAATGGCTGCCGGAAAGGGTAAAGAGGAAAGTCTGTCTTTTGTTTTCTTATTTACTGGCTATGAATGTAAACATCCTAACGTTGGATCGTATGGCTTCTAGTACACGTAGACTTTGAATATTTGACAGCACAGAGACCAATGGGATTTAAAAAATTAGACTCTTGCAAGGTCCTGATATTTTATGCGAGGTGGTGCATTTTAAACTCTTAAATAGACAGAAAAAAGCGTGTATTGTAGTCACAAGAGCAACCACTTAAAAATACAAGAAGGTGTGTGGGGCGCCCGGGTGGCTCAGTTGGTTGAGCGTCCGACTTCGGCTCAGGTCACGATCCCACAGTTCGTGGGTTCGAGCCCCGCGTCGGGCTCTGTGCTGACAGCTCGGAGCCTGGAGCCTGTTTGGGATTCTGTCTCCTTCTCTCTCTGCCCCTCCCCACTTGTGCTCTGTCTCTCAAAAAGAAATAAATGTAAAAAAAAAAAATTTTTTTTTTTTTAAATACAAGAAGGTGTAGCTAAAAGGCTAGTGGGCAAATTAAGATGTTAAAATTGAGTGCTAAAAATAGTGAAAAAAAGAGGGGATGAAAGGAAAAACAGGATTGTGTTTTTAATGAAATAAATCTAAAACAAATAGCAAAATGGGAGACCTTCTAACCAGCACATAGTTCAAGCCTGGTTTTTGATGCAATCTGATAACGTCTGCCTTTCAAACAGAATATTCAGTTCCTTTACCTTTAATGTACTTACTGATGTAAGAAGATTACCTTCACTGTTAAAACATAGCTTGAAAATAAGAGAATGAAAAAGCCTATTCTGTGTAAATCATAAGCAAAAGGAAATTATTGTGGTTACATCGCCATCAACAAATACCAATGAAATAGACTTGAAGACAAGAGTGATTATCAGGAATAAAGAAGGGGTGTGATAAGAGGGGCGTTAAAGAACTTTCTGTATGGATAGAAATATTTTATATCTTGCTTGGTGTTTGCATGGATGTTGTATGTATACACATACACGTTGGTTGTTTTATCAAAACTTAAGATCTTTTATCTAACTTAAGATCTTTGCATTTCTCTACATGAATTTTACCCTTACAAATTTAAAAAGAAAACCAAAAACCCAACAACTTTATAAAGGTTGTTGCCAGTATCATACATCAAAAGTGAAAGCTAAGGGACACCTGGGTGGCTCAGTCAGTTGAGCGTCCAACTTCGGTTCAGGTCATGATCCCACAGTTCGTGGGTTCGAGCCCTGAGTTGGGCTCTTGTGCTGATGGCTCAGAGCTTGGAGCCTGCTTCGGATTCTGTGTCTTCCTGTCTCTCTGCCCCTCCCAGGCTCGCTTTGTCTATGTCTCTCAAAAATAAACATTAAAAAAATTTTTCTTCTCTTAAAAACGAAAGCTAAAATTATATATCCGATAAGGGGTTAATACCCAAAATATTTAAAGAACTTAACACAGTTCAGCATCCAGAAAACAGCAACAGATAATCTGATTTTAAAATGGGCAGAGGAACTGAATAGACATTTTTCCAAAGAAGACACACAGGTGCTCAACAGACACATAGGAAGATGCTCAACATCACCAGTCACCAGGGAAACATAAATCAAAACCACAAAGAGATACCATCTCACGGCTGTCAGCATGGCTAGTCTCTAAAAACACAAGAAACAACAAGTGCTGGTGAGGATGTGGAGAAAAGGGAGCCCTCGTGCCCTGTTGGTGGGAATGCAAACTAGTGCAGCCACTGTGGAAAACAGGATGGGGCTTCATCAAACAGTAAAACTAGAACTACCATATGATCCAGTAGTTCCACTACTGAGTATTTAACCAAAGACAATGAAAGCATTAATTCAAAGAGATGGATGTACCCCTTGTTTATTGCAGCATTATTTACAGTAGCCAAGATATGGAAGCAACCTATGTGCCCATTGATAGACAAACAGATACAGAGATGTGGTGTGTGTGTGTGTGTGTGTGTGTGTGTGTGTATACACACACACACATAACAATAGAATACTTCTCAGCCATTAAAAAAAATGAGATCTTGCCGTCTGCAACAATATGGACGGAGCTAGAGAGTATAATGCTAAGGAAATAAGTCAGAGAAAGACAAATACTATATGATTCCACTTACATGTGGAATCTAAAAAAAAAGCAGAAACAGATCCATAAATACAGAGAACAAACTGGTGATTGCGGGAGGGAAGCAGGGTGGGGAGGTGGGCAAAATGGGCGAAGGGGAGTGGGAGGGCCAGGCCTCCAGCCGCGGAATGAAGAAGTCGCGAGGAGGGCAGGAGCAGCAGCAGAAGTCGATTAGTGGTGCTGTAATTGCAGTGACAGACTGGCAGCCGTCCTGACCAGGGGCACAGCACAACTCATAAACTTGTCAGGTCCCCTGCCGTACACCTGGAACTAGCAGAGCGTTGTGCGTCCGCTGTGTGTGACAGCAGTGGACGGATGACCGAAGGCACAAAGGGAAGAAGGGACTGGAAAGGGAAGCTAACGCGTCACCCGCTGTGCCGCCTCACCCTGTGGAAGCCCGTCCACAGTCTTTTCCGTCCGGTAACGTAGCTTCCTGCTCCGTAGTGCTTTCTTCCTTACCATCTTCTGTTCTTTTCTCGTGCAAACTGAACCTGTTTGTTTGGAAATCATCAGGGTTTCACCCCAGAGGCAGAGATCTTTCTCACAAAGCGTAGTGACACTTCATACATACGGCTGTGCCGTCTGGCACTCAGCTGGTAACGTCACCTCATCCTGAAACCGTTCTCGACTCATTTGCTCCCCGATTCGTGCTCACCGACAGCCTGCCAGGCACCAGGCTCCAGAGATGAGATGGTAGACTGGGCAGACGTGCTCTCCCCTCACCGAGCTTGCACTCGTAGTTTCACTTTCTCGTACGAAACTCAAATTAACTTAAAAGTTTAAAAGCCAGGGGCGCCTGGGTGGCGCAGTCGGTTAAGCGTCCGACTTCAGCCAGGTCACGATCTCGCGGTCCGTGAGTTCGAGCCCCGCGTCAGGCTCTGGGCTGATGGCTCGGAGCCTGGAGCCTGTTTCCGATGCTGTGTCTCCCTCTCTCTCTGCCCCTCCCCCATTCATGCTCTGTTTCTCTCTGTCCCAAAAATAAATAAAAAACGTTAAAAAAAAAAAAAAAAAGTTTAAAAGCCAAAGGTTAAGCTCATTGGAAAAGAAGTTGCAAAAGCGGTAATTCTGCATGTGAATTGTTCCGTATGCCAGATACTCCCCTGTGACGACGGTGCCTACCTGTATTTGGGGGTCAGCCACCAGAGCAGAGAACAGTGGTATCACATCAGCCGTAGGTGGGCTCAGCTTTCAAAGTCGGGGTCTACAGTGAAGCTCGGCTGTAGGTAAACGTCACGTCCACTGAGCAAGATGCCCAGCAAGCAGCGTCCCGTTTTCCACTTGCCGTCTCTCGCGCTCCTCGGGAGAGGTGGCTGCTGAGGGGGCCCTGCGGTTATCCGGGTCGGGGCCGGGGTGCGAGGGGTGGGGAGGGGCCGCACAAGACAGTGAGATCCACGTAAACGGAATGAGATTTGCGCCCGCATTTGGGAACTGCCACGTGCGCAGAGAGATCAGACGAGCAAGCTACAAAGTCCCCCGAGTAGCGAATGCAAACGCGGACGCGTTTCTGTAGTACGATCGGCATTTAGATTACAGGGTTATCTTTACGACACCCAAACGCAGCCACTTCTCTGGAGAACGATTCACGGCATTATTTTTATCTCCGTGATAGTTTTGGAAGCCAAAGTGTAAAGGACTATTGAACAAATGAATTCGGGGATTATAACACAGAGTTCAATTAAGAAGCCTTTTTAGCTGAAACAATTGTTTATAGCACCATATTTAATTCCTATAAAACTGTATTCTAAACTGTCTTCTGCGAGACATTCAGTGTTACGTTAAAGGTTTTTTGCCTTTGGTAATTACCGGTTCATCTGCTCTAACGCATCACGTCATCTTCTTTGGCTTGAGAGAAAGATTACCTTCTGTGCAGGGATAATGGGCCTAAAAGTCAAATAAAAAACATCTTTAACCCGCTTTCCCAATTTTGTTGTTTCTTCCCCCCCCTTCTCCGCAGTTCCGTGCCTTAGCACCCATGTACTACCGAGGGTCGGCTGCAGCTATAATTGTTTATGATATCACAAAAGAAGTAAGACTTTCCATTTTCCTTAGACTGTTCCGAAACCCCGGTTTTGGCTGCTTAGCCCTCCAGCCGCTTTCCTTTCTTGTGTTCCAGGAGACATTTTCAACATTAAAGAACTGGGTGAGGGAGCTCCGGCAGCATGGCCCGCCCAATATTGTGGTTGCCATAGCAGGAAATAAGTGTGATCTTATCGACGTCAGGTAAGTTATTAGAACGGGAGATTACGGTGCTGATTATGTGTTCCTTTTCTTCCTGAGCAATATCCAATATAAGAATCTTCTTTTATTTTATCTCTGACATTGAAAAATTCCTTTTGGTTCAGTTGAAGTCCTGAAGTTTCCAACAAAAATTAAGAGTTCAGACATTTGGGGGTGATTAGATTACAGAGAGAGAGAGAGAGAGAGAGAGAGAGACGATGTGTGCTTTATTTAAGCACTGGTGACATCATACTTGACGTTATCTGAGGTTAGTCTAGCCCCCACCCTGTTCCCATGACCTAGGGTACTTGAATAGGGGAAAACATGTATACCTTAAGGAAGGCACATTTATTGGCAATTTCTCTGGACCACTTCCGTGATTCCCAAAGCGAGGACTTTCCTTTGGGGGGTGGGGGGAGGGAAACCCCCCCCCCTTGCCATTCTGTGACCATTCTGTCAGATAGCTGGATTGCTCGTACTGCTGGGTTCTGTTTTGTTTTGTTCTGTGCAACCATATAAGTGGTGTAATCGGGAGGACCATGTTTTCAGGGCTCAGTCACTAGCCGTTCATGACATCCTTTGTCATCACAAATCTGGTTAATTACCGGGTAATTGTTGCCTTCCAGAGAAGTCATGGAGAGAGACGCGAAGGACTACGCCGACTCCATCCATGCGATTTTTGTGGAGACCAGCGCGAAAAACGCAATAAACATAAATGAACTCTTTATAGAAATTAGTGAGTATCTCTGTGCCTTGTGGGTTTCCTCTGTGCAGAGCAACTTAATACAGAATTACATGGCTGGGGAGAATTCCCTCCGTACATAGAATAGTCTGGTCTCTGACATTGTTCTCAGTGGCACGAGATTGGAGAACGTAAGAGTGGCGGCTGGGTTTCAGCTCGTGTTCTCATTGCTGGAGAGCCCCTGCCTGATGACTGCGACCCTTCTCAAAAGAATGTTGCTGCCGAATAAATAATGCTCAGGGCCTTGAGGTCCTGGAAGCTGTCATCTTGCGCTCTGTCTCTCTAAATGTGTTTCAATTAGCCATCCAGAGTCATCGACGGTGAACAAAACGATAAAGGGAAGTGAAATTCAAGTGTGATTCCACTGTAAGAAAAACCTCAAAAATTAATACCAGGAGAGTAAAAAGTAAGACCTCCCCTTCCCATCCCTCCCCCTTCCCTTTCCAGAAGTGTTAATATGATGCTGCTAGATGGAAGGAGGCTGCCGCATACCTTGGGGACCCTCTACAGATTGTATCTATGTTTATTCATTTCATTCAAATTCATCAAAATATTTATTGAGAACCGTTCCTGGCTCGGGGGAGCCGGCGGTGAACAAGACAGGCGTGGCCCTGCTCTCCTGAAGCGCACTTTCTGCTTCGACAGGCAGGCAGCGAGCACAAATATGAGTAAGATCCCTCCCGGTGATCTGCAGTGATGGGAAACGGTAGTGTGGGATGAAGTGAAGGCGTGTCCGCTGGTGGTCAGGGAGGGCCTCCCCGAGGAGGTGAGACTGGAAGGGTCAAGCTCTGCAGGGACCTGGGGTTCACGTTAGCCGGACGCGTCAGACTTGCAGGTGACCGGGAGAAGGCTGACAGGGCACGGTGAACTTACCCGTCCAGATCCGTCGACGGTGTGAGGTCAGAGGTCACTGAGGCCGGAAGGGCACTTGGCCATCGTGTAGAGGAGGGAGTGGGGAGTGCAGCACCCAGCACGGCCAGGCAGGGACGGGCCCCCAGCCCTGGGACGCGGAAGCCGCAGACAGCCCCCGCGACCCCGACAGCTGGCGTGTGGGGCCCCGCACCAGCAGGTGGGGTCACACTGGCATGTAGGCCCCTGGTTGCCCAGTTGCTGGGGTGGTTTTTATCTTTATTCTTCGATGGTTTTAGTTGGCTCAGGGTCTGGGTTTTATGTGATACGTCCCATTGTTTAGACTGGGCCACCGATTCAAGCGTCGTCAGAGTACCGTGCCAGAGTCCTCGGAGTCCTTTCAGAGTATTGCCGAGGCCATCTGCCACCACAGAGGGCCACTGGCCCGCTGATCTCCAGCCCCACGTCCAGTCCCTTCACTTCAGCATTTGAAGTCACGACGTGTAGTGCCTTCCTGGACTGTAAATAGCAGTTACCCAAATACACACTTGAAAGGCAGCATGAGGCCAGTCAGGAATTTTTCAGTTCAGGCGGAAACATCCAAGAGCGTGCTGGTGGGAGCGTGCCAGAATCGTTGCCATTTTTTTTGGCGTGTTCTTCAGTAGTATTAAGAACAAAGGTAGTGAATGATGCCAACAGTGACAACTCTTAAATAAAACCTAGCACGTACGTGCTCATTTTCACTGTGAAAAATAAAAAAATCTATGTTCCCAAAGATCAGAAAAATTTAGAGAGACGTAAATTGAGTTTATTGTTTACCGGGTGTAGTAAAACGCATCAGCGCAGTGCCTGGCATGCGGACTTTTTATTGAAGCATAATACGCGTCCAGGAGGGCGCTTAGAATTACGGAGCTCAAGGAATTTTCAGAGTGAGCATTCTCCTGTAATCAGGACTGAGATCAAGACCCGCCAGCACCCCAGGAGCTCCCGCGTGCCCTTCCTGTCCTTCCTGTCCCCACCCAGGGAACCGCTGTCCTGACCGCTAGCTCTTCAGATTGGTTTTGCCTATTTTTGTACTTTTTT